ACCTTTCATTCATCGCGGCCATCTTCTTCTATACTCCTTCCAGTACTCCATCTCATTTTCACGTTCTCAGATTCCACCAGAGACTTCGTTAATTTGTGCTTTCAGGTTTGAGACATGGACGAGAATATTGAAGTTCCTCCCTTCTTCTTGTGCCCCATCTCCTTGGAAATCATGAAGGATCCGATCACGGTTTCCTCTGGGATTACCTACGACCGTGAGAGCATCGAGAAATGGCTCTTCTCCGGCAAGAACAAGACGTGCCCGGTCACCAAACAACCCCTCTCCGTATCAGACTCCTCCGACCTCGTTCCCAACCACACCCTTCGTCGTCTGATTCAATCGTGGTGTACCATGAACGCTTCTCACGGCATCGAGAGGATCCCCACGCCCAAACCTCCCATCAACAAAACCCAAGTGGCTAAAATCATCAGAGATGCTTCTCGATCTTCTCAGTCACCGGTTAAATGCCTCCAAACACTCAAATCCATTGCCTCCGACAGCGACGCCAATAAACGCAGCATAGAAGCCGCGGGCGCCGTCGAATACCTAGCATCCATTGTACTCCGTCACACAAGTTTCTCCTACACACCTGAAGAAGCTAGCCCTGACGATGATGGATTTGAATTGAAAACAAGCGGAGGTGATGAAGCCTTGAGCATTCTCCATAGCCTCCGCCTGTCCGAGGCTGGCTTGAAGAGCCTCGTCAGCTTCGAAAACGGATCATTCATTGACTGCTTAACCAGAATCATGCAGAGGGGATTCTACGAGTCACGAGCTTATGCCGTCTTATTGTTAAAATCCATGTTCGAAGTGGCTGATCCATCGGTTTTATCCCATTTAAAACCAGAAATGTTCGTTGAATTAGTACAGCTATTGAAAGACCAGATATCCCAGCAAGCCTCGAAGGCTACTCTAAGAACACTGATCCAAACATGTCCTTGGGGAAGAAACAGAATAAGAGCAGTGGAAGCAGGAGGCGTATCGGTGTTGATAGAGCTTCTTCTAGATTGTAAAGACAGGAAGCCATGTGAGATGATGCTGGTGTTGTTGGAGATGCTGTGTGGGTGTGCTGAGGGGAGAGCCGAGCTACTGAGTCACGGGGCGGGGATCGCAATAGTTTCGAAGAAGATTCTGAGGGTGTCGACTATGGCCAACGATAGGGCGGCGAGGATTCTGCTGTCCATTGCCAAGTTCTCTGCAACCCCTAGCGTTTTGCAGGAAATGTTGCAGGTTGGGGTGGTGGCGAAGCTGTGTTTGGTGCTTCAAGTGGAGAGTGGGCGAAAGGCTCAGGACAAAGCCAGAGAGATTCTCAGAATGCACTCTCGGGCTTGGAGGAATTCTCCATGCATACCCAGCAGCTTGCTTTCTTCTTATCCGAATTGAATTGAGAGTCGTTCAGAGTTTTGATTTTTTTTTTCTTTATGTATATTTTTCCTCTCTGTTGATTAAGTTTCCTGTACAGAATTATTTTGAGAGGTATGAAGAATAAATGCCAGCATGGGCATCAATTACAGCCCATGCAGGTTAGATTGGTTGATTGATATGGATTGTGCTTATAATGGATTACTGACACAAATGGTGTCATTGACCAATTTCCCCTTGTCCTCTTCGAATTCCATCTTATAATTAAATTGCTTGATGGTACTTAAGAGTAATAAAAAATACATATAAGATGATTATATGGCGATCAAATCGCGGTTACGTAATACAGTTCATGTTGAATAATATCTAGCTATAAATAATAAACTGGGAAAAGAGAGCAGACACAGACACACAAAGACAAGAACAACTATTTGGAGGGTTTGATTAATATTACGGTACATAGCTTGGATTTTTTGTGGAATAGATGTTATGAAGGAAAATGACAAATATGTATATAATGTCACTGCCTGCTTTTCAGGGAGCTTAATCTTTTAATTTCCTCTCTTTGACGATGAGCCACATGCACTGCCGGCCAAGGTTACTTCAAGATGATAAACTGGGAATTTGCTGTGATCATCATATTTGTCTATCGCTAGATCATGAAAAAGAAAATGGATAGACTGGGAATTTGTGATCATCTGTCTATGCGCTAGATCATGAACAAAGAAAATGGTAAGCTGGGAATTCGTGAACATCTGTCTGTCGCTAGATCTAAACAAAGAAAAAGGATTAAACTGGGAATTTGTGATAATCTGCCTGTTGCTAGGCCATGACTCATGAGCAACGAAAATTTGTGAATGGAATTAACTAGAATTAGGCTGGGGAATGGGCAATGAGCAGGAAAAAAATGTCATATCTTAACTCATCTTAAAATTCAAATTTATATAAGTCATTCTATCTTATTAGATATTACTTGTTAAACTCAATCCGATGTAAGACTTTTTACATCAACTTAAATCCCCTCACACTTGAATATCTTAACAAGAAGCAATTATAATTTGTTAAACAGTCTCTTACCAAACTGTTTGAATTCATCATCCTTTCTTTCTCCATACTTCTAAAACCGGCGGAATCGGTCTCTTAGCCTCAGCCCATCAGTAATTATTAGTTCACTTTAATTGCGTTTTGGACCCAATCATGTTGGTCCCCCTATTGATAGGTAATTAATTGGTCAGACATTGCAAGGTTAAGTCACATGAGCGTTCAAAAACTATAAATGATTTTTATTCATGCTTTTCATTTGCTCCATTAAAAATAAATGGACCTTCATGAGGTCCAAGAATAGCCACTGTTAGTTAATTAAGCACGATTAATTAAGTAGCGAATCGTTGTGTTTTTCTTGCAAGATGCAACCTTTTTACTTTCTAGAAAATCAACCAGACTCGATCCACAGCAGCATGCACACTATGATCTTCAAATTTCCAGAGTTATCTACTTCGTTTGAAATGGAACAACCTAAATCGATCGGTTTTAAAAGTCTCACCTGTCGACCTAGAAGGCTAAAATCTATCAAAATATAAATTCTTAAAAAACCAATAAACTACGAATTATTCAAATCATTTTATAGAATAAATAATAACGGCTGATGTAGGGAAAGGTACAGCTCGCACACGGTAATGGCACCTTACCAATTCCGTCAACCACCATTTAGCGGCATGAACATAGCGTCCTTGAGGAGCTAGCGATTTAGAAAGATTTATAACTCATATAATATTAAATCAAAAGTTGATAATATATATGAGAAAATACTTGAAATGCATATTATTTTCGATCGGCCAGCTGCTTTTAAAAAAGATCATATAATTTGGGCCTGCTTTTAGGAAGATCTTTGACAAGTATTGAGTTATAGTAGTTATAAATCTTTCAAATTCAAATTGTCGCGATATATGATAATATTGTATAATAAATTAAACTATATCTGCTTTGTCCAAAAAGGATTAAATTATTTGATGTTTCTCGGATCATGTGGTTTCTGGGATCATGTGATGCACAGAGTTTTATATTCAGTTAGTTAATTAGGTGGCAACGCCCCACTGGAAATTACTGCTTAATTAATCTAACATGCAAACGTCGACGATCCAAACATGAATTGGAGCATGTTTGACTGTGGTTGTCTGACCGAATACGGGAAATAATGTGCTCGTCGGTTGTACAGTTCAAAGTCCATCTGTATTGGCATGAAGAACGTTAATTCATGTAGAATATAAAAAAGGACTTAATTCGAAGAGTTATTGAGAACCACCAATATAATCAAGTGGTTGAGATGTATATAGGAGGAGCCTTCTGACCCTTGTAATTGTCAAAGCCTCCTAGTTAGTTCAAGTCAATATTTCCATGAGAAAATTCGCTCTACCATCCTAAATTGTAGCATAACAACAACTTGGCCCATGGAAAGATTCTTAAATTGTGGTGATATATGATCTATATGTTACGTTTAAATTAAGCTGATTAATTATTTTGTTGCATTTCATGACTTCTAGCTTTTGCAGCTAAATTGACCACCAATAACGTTAACGTGCTAAGGGAGGGACGGGTCTAATAAATGGATGGTTTGAAGGAACTTCAACGCACAACTTGACGAGAAGCATATACAAGTATAAGGCAGTCCATGTCAGCACTCAGCATAAAGCCCATCATCATGGTCACTTTTAAGATGCACATACGAGTTCATCTTTAATTTTAACTAAATTATGTTATTATCCCCTATATATAAAATTATAAATAGTAATATAATTATATTCCCTTTTCATGGCAAGAAGGGATTAATTAAATAATTTTTTTCTTCTATTACTAATGATAATTGCTAAGTGTATAAACGTTATTGTTCCAGCATAACTCTTGAATATTCCTCGGAACCATATAAGGCGCATGGATTTTCTCGAAATCTTTTGTCAACTTGAAAGAAAGATAAACATAAATTATGAAGCACGCATTATCTCTCTATTGTGTGCGTGTGCGTGAGGAGGGAGAGCGCAGCTTGTCTATTTTTCTTCAATTTACACAAAATATTTTTTAGAGCATCCACACTCCCTTCAAAACAAGCCATTCGAGTTCGACTACACTTTGCAGATCGACCTTTATTTTAAGGAGAAGATTAAATAACTTTCCCCCTATCTCTTTTCAAATCATTTCCCCCTATTTTGGGCAAATTTTTTCCATTTTGTTTTCATATTTTTGTGAATTATTTCCGTGCAAATCGCAAATGCACAATCACCTTCGGAGTTTGTACGAACAAAGGGATCTGCCATTTGATCCAGTATGTAAGCGCAAGAGAATTAAATACGAAAGCCAGAGGCCAAAAAAGGAAATTAAAAAAAAAGCACAAGTTAAAAGCCAGGGGCACTACAGATTTGATCGAGTATATCTTGTTCATTGAAAAGTCGACCTTTTTGCCCTCCGGCTGACGACTACTTGAAACAAGTGAATGTTTGCAGAACTGAAAATTCCGATTATAACTTATAAAACCTTGGAAGTATGAACATAGCTGAAACGCCAGTGTAATTATTATGATATCAATACCTCGAGAGTACGTAAAATTGTTTACATATATATAGTTATTCAGTAATATTGATTCATCCTTAATGACTTGAAACAAGGCAAGAATGAAGAGATACAAATGTATAATCAAAGGCCGGGAAAAGAACATTGGTTGAGTAATGAAAAGGTCCCCAGTTACCATCTACATGAGGTTGATGAGTTCCAAGTGGCGCCTGGTTTACGACCATCATCTCATCATGAGATTCGGACCACATCATCATATCATACTGCGAGGCGACCTCTTCACCCGGCAATGGTGGCAGCTCAAAATCGCTACTGCCAATTATTCTCTCTCCCTTATGCTCCTGCATGGAGTTGAATAACCCACCTAGATGATGACCCGCAGCAATGTTGAAATGGGATTCTATTGTGGATGGTTCAGAAAGACCAAAAACTATGTCGGACAGACTCGAATACTCTACGCAAGGATCAAAACCTAGTGTCTTCATAAACTGATGATGCGGCTCCTGGTCACTTGAATCTGGGTTTTGATTGAGAAAATTGGCATAAATGAGTGCAATATCAATATGTGGAGCATGATCAGAGGCCGGTGATGAGGAGCTAGAAGATGAAACAGCAGCAGCATTTGGTGAAGGCAAGGCTGATGAGTTCACTCTTAAAGTCTTGCTAGTGTGGCGCCTGGTTTTCCGGCAGCCGCCACCAACGGGGACGTTGCGGAGGGATCCTCCTTTGGTCCAGTACCTTCTGCAGCCTTTACAAAAGTAGCGAGGTTGAGTTAAGCTGTAGTTATTGTAATAGCAGAACTTGGTGTTGCAAGACCCACACCTGGGACAGTTCGGTGATATCTCCGAATTATGCTTCCACCCTCTCTCCATCATCTCTTTTATCGTCTCCACGCGTCATCTGAGACTTGAAAGAGATCAGTAAAGAGAAGGGTATATATACATATATATGAGGCTAGGTATACTGGTATGATCAAGTGGGTATAGGGGGGGTTTTATATACAAGTTTGGAGTGGACGAGAGACGAGAGGGAATGCGTATGGAGGCGTGCATTGCACATGAGGACGCATGCATGGGTGTAGGCAGTCCAGGTGTGCTTCACAGGTTCCGTAGGCTAATTATATGGTGTCGGTGTTTCATCATCTATATGAGCCTTACTCAGGAAGCAAACTCCTCGGTACTACCATTTCACACGCCTCCAACCACATTACTTTTCTCTTTTTGTTTGGATAAAAGGGGATTCAACAAGAAATTACAAAGAGATAATGACAAGTACTATATCAATCTTTCTTGATCCTTCATCACCTCATAATTAGCTAACGGAGGACGATCAAAGACTCAAATCTGGGAGTTTATCTTATGAGCTGATTTATCAGCAGTTCTAGCAGAATCTCTGCACATGAATGCCAAATCAACTATATATCCAGTCCCTAGCTACAATCTTTCCAGCTTCTTTAATGATGTCCATGAACGGATGTCCCGCTCTGAGATCTCTGGTCATAAGATTAATGGCCAACTCTCCCTTATTAAGTATCCCTCATTTCCACCTCTGTAATAAATAAAGTCTTACTATAAGCCTCTGCGGATTTTGTAGGCAGTGGCATAGTCTTTTGTCATCGTGTTCTTGTTTTTCTTTTCCTGATGTCGCTTATTTTTTGCTAAATAAGTTCAGAATAATGAAAGACGTACTTTGCTGGGTACTACGGTATAACGTTATTATCCTTAGCTATAATTTGTTAACCCAAAAGTTGAAGTTATACTATCTGAGCATGTAGCGACTTTGATAAGCAAATTATTTGTGTTACTGTGTGTCTGTAATTCACGGGGGAAGAGCAAGCATTGTAGGAAGGAATGTCTCTCTCACGGTGATCAATAAACTTCCATCGTTGACCCCGATTTCTT